AGCCCTGGCTCTGTAGATGGAAAAACAAAGAGAAACAAAGTGGCTCAGACCGAGCCTCTAAACACTATCATGCTGTGCTGGTGCAGAGGACAGGGGAAAGGCCACGGATGTTTAGAGAGAAAGGCAGTGGGAGTGAGAGGGACGGTAAAACGAAGCTTCTGAAGGAGCACTGATGAGACCAGTGTATTTTTTATATCAAATATCAACAAAGTTTCCCCAGAATCGCAGTCTCCACCTTTCATTCACATATATATATTGAATCCCAATTTTTGTGTACAATAACTTCCAGGTGGAAAACCTCCATGTCATGTGCATTAAATGAAACAGCACTGAGCAAACGGTGCATCGATTGGTGTGATTTACGCCACCAGACAGCCCTTTCCGACGGGGAACTGAAGCCGTAACTCTCATTTTACTTCACAAAACACGGGGGTTGCTGATCCACCGTTGCTTCAGTCAGTTAGTGTGTGAGGTAAAGTGGTGAAAATATTCCAAATATAGTGTACACTTAAACTGACATTGATTTTTTGGTGGCTAAAATACAGTTTGCTGTGCCCCGCCCACAGTGGCACATTGCCTAGCATTCATGCTGGTTGAGTTGGGCTATCAAAGACACTAGAAAGGCAACAGTACATAAAATTATCTCAGCAGAAATGTCAGATAGGTCGGACCAACTTGTTTAACTGTATATCTTTAAATGTTACAGTTAAAGCTGAAAATAACAACGGAAATAAACAAGTGTGGAGATTTCACATATCCTTGCAATTCAAAATAAGTGCCAGCTGTCTCCCCGAAAGTGTGAAGTCACAGTGATTCAGTCTATTCACATATAGGGTGAGCATTCACAAATTTTCTTCTCTATATTACATTTTCAGCAGCACCCACACACAGATGCAAACCTCCATGACTGTTGCTCAGAATTCAATAAAAAGAAAACGTTACAGGAAAATTTCTCAATGGATTTTTGCTCCTGCATGGTGAGACCTATTATAGAAGGCACTGAGTGCACAGTGTTTCCTCTTTGTTTTCCTCAAAGGTGCACTCATTTTATCCAGCTCTCAGTCACATCACATGACATAGAGTTTGCCAAGTTGTCATGAAGATGGATTTGTTCACATGCAAGCACAACTGACTGTTAGGACTTCTCCTCCAGGGGCTGTATTCACAAAGCTTCCTGGTAGAGCTGCTCCTCCTTCTCAGAAAATTCTTGGAATTGTAATGTTTTCTAAGAATTTCCCCTTAAAGTTAAGGCTACGTCCTTGTAAAGATAAAAGTTATTCACAGAGCATCTTATACCTGAAAGAGCTCCGAAGGTGAAAAAATGTTAGGAGCAGGGAGGAGGACTTTTAAGAGACTGAAGAGTTTCTTAAGCAGAGGAGAAAATGGTGGAAACACAAGGAGATCGGAGAGATATTCTCCACACGCTGGATGACAGAGAGTAAATAAAATGCTACAGGGATAATATGTGTGGTTGATCTCATTAGGGACTCACACACATTTCCCACCAAATGCTTTACCACCAGAAATAAAATGATCACAACACTCAGATATTTAGAAAACTGGAAAAATGCAGCAGTGGTGACTTGAGTCTGTCTCAACCTTTCATCAGCAGAGTGGTCACACTAACACTTTCACAGTCAGCAGTTCATTTCATTTCCACTGGGTGTCCACACCTTGCAGCCTCACAAAAGGGCATGTCTGTGACAACCAATCACACCTGTTAAAAGAATGCGTCATACCTAGCAACAGGGTCAACCACACCCCCTCACTAAGGTAAAAGTTTCTGTCCTGTCCTTGCTCAGAGTTGCTCTGAGAACTTTTCTAAGCTAGGACTCCTACTAAAAGATTTTAGGCTCAGATAGGAGCTCTCAGAGAGTGTTCTCTTGTGAATATGGCCCCAGGAAGAGATAAAGTGTCACTGATCTCACTTGTCAACAAATCCATCTCCATGACTACTAAGAAACCTCCGTCCACTGATGAAGACTACAGATGAAAGCTCCATATAATTCAAGCCAGATTCGGTACTGTGTTGTCAAACTATTTCCAAGGCGAGAATGAACTTCAATGCTTTAAATAAATAGCATATATTGTGTGTATACTCAGTTAGCTGGAGTAGGTGTCTTGTTCATATCAGGTGTTAACACCAACAGCACTTTGATCAGTCTTCGGTCTTTGTGGCGCTCCAGCAGCTACTTGCTTTGCATTCTGCAGAGAAGATGAAAATGAGTTACAGTTAAGACTTCACGAATGGATTAGAGACGCAGCAGAAGTCACAAAAACAGGGTGTATCATTTAACAACAGCCCGCCGTGGAGCTGTAAGGTCACACAGGTTTAAATCCCATGACAGCCAGAGAGAGACCACCGCTGCTGAGGAGCTGTAAAGCGAGAACACCTCCTGTGCCTGTATAGATTCTTTACAGGAGTACACTTGTGTCATTTAGATTTACAGCCTATTTGCTTCTGTTTATGTCGAGCTCACATTCCTGTCATTTTGCGCGCCATGACCTACTCACTGTTTCTAACACCCTCAGTCACGCTTAAAAGTGGCTGCCTGTAAAGATACCCTGATTTTAAAGAATATATATGAGTCTGATTGAATTCCGTGAGGTGTAAGATGTTTTCAGGGGTTGTTTCTTGGCTTTTGTTTCTGCGGCTGCCGTGTGATTGACGCCAAGTAAGGTGTAACACAACACGTGTGGTTTCTGACACTTAATTCAAGCACACTTGAGCACGGTGACATAAAGATAAAACAAGATGACAAAACAGAGTTAAGGCTCCTGGTTTACTGTGATGGATCGTCTGACTCGGATGGTGGCTGTGTTTCATCAGTGCACGAAAATGAATCATGGCACTGTGGATGGAGGAAATCAGGCCTGATGGACTCATTTACCAGAGAGAGACAAAACAGACAGTGAACAGTGATATTAAGATTTATTGATAAATGAAACGTAGTGCTGACATTTCCTCGCGTGTGTGTGGCTTCATACATAAAATATATAAACTCCCTCAATAATCTTTAAAGGAGCTGTATGCAGCATTCAGAGCATATCTATAGCATCTTTACACTGCCTGTTCAAGGCGGGAATGTCATGCCTTTATTGCACCTTGCCTGTCTTTATAACCAGTACAGTCGTGGAATGGAAGGACAGAGTTGTCTCACCTTTCAGAGCCCATTCATGCTCAATGTTAGATACATATATGGACATGGACAGAGCCTTCTGTCCATACTCTGCATTAATTTTGTCTGTATTTGTGCATGTTTTCTGAATGCAGGTCAGTACCACAACAGATCATGGGGGCAGTGTAGTGTACTTCAAATGAGCCGTGACCGTAGAGAGACAACAAGTATGTTTTAAAAACGGCAGAACAGAACAAATCTATAACATAATAACAATTCTCCTGCCATGTGTCACAATGTATTATATGGCCTCCAAGACCACCCCCCATCTACAGGCTGTATCTATGCCATCATAAAGGACCCCTGGATGTATGAGGGCACTGACATTTACAACCTTTTAAAGGGATGTATTTATTTCCATACATAGTTAAGGACAAAATAAATGAGCCTTCAGCCGGCAGTGGAGGTAGTTTACAGCACTGAATCTATGTCTGTATAAAAGGGAATGCTGGCCAGACAGGACCATATCAAGACGGGTGTGACGGTTCTACAACATGTGTGCAGATTTGAAAGTAGGGATGCACGATTTTGGATTTTTTTTTACTGATATCCAATATGCTGATATGTAACAACTCATTTGACCGATAACCAATACCGATATTGACATATATCCACTTTCTTCCCTGCCTGATTTTAGTGATCATCAAGTCTCTTATGTAGTGGAATTAACATTATATTATATATGCATACACTTATTGTGACGGCCCACCAGCAGATGGAGACATGAAATACAATAAGCACGTTGGCCGATTCTGATATTACATTTTAAAGCCAATATTGGCTGGTACCAATTACATGCTGATATTATCGTGCATCCCTATTAAAAAGAGATTTAAAAAGCAGCTAGTAGCAGTTAGCAGCTAACAAAAGAAGAAAAACAGCAGCTGAAAATGTCCTCATATTGAAGAGAGATTAGGTATGGGATCTATTTACCCTCCACGTAGAGGATGAGATGAGCAAGAAAGCACTCAATAAGTGTATGTTTTATGTTACACTAGAGGTTAACATGGTTGTGTTAAACTTCACGCTTCTTTTGTTTCTGGGATGTCGGCATGCTATCTAAAATTACACACTGGGGCTGCACAAGGCCATTTCGTAACAGCCCTATCACGCGATCTTTGTGCAAAAAGGGCATACGAGCCTAAACAAGGATTGCCTGCACACGGCTCTCAACATGGGGGTGGCTGAGCTGGTGGCTTGCAGCTAGCAGTGCTAAAAATGTAAAGAACGGCAACATTGCAGGCAGAACTAATCCACCACTGTGGGTCAGGACAGTGTTTCTCGGTGGTAACCGCTGTATGAGCCCAGTGCAGAGCAGCGGTGATTAGTTAGCCAGTGGGGAACAAACACAGGGACTCACATTCAGAAACATGAATGCGCAGCAGGGCCGTCTACTAGCACAAAGAACAGAGAAGCTCTGATTAGAACACACACAGAGTAAGCGTGACTTCATTCTCTGCTCAGGATGCCATTACTCCACTTGTCTTTACGTAGCAATTAGTTGTTTACTGCTATATTAATGTTCTAAGTGTTGGATACAGCACCTTTAAACTTTAAATTCTATGTTATACATCTGTCTTTTATGTTACAGGAGTGTTTACGTCTCAACAAACCTGTCAAATCTGATATATTTAGTGTGCTGACAGAATTTACGGTGTTAACATTAAACTACGTTACATGTTTCCTCTCCAGATAATCTACATTATGCAGGTCTGCTTCTTTATTTCGGTATGTTCAGTATGTGCCGAGATGGTGAGCGGGAATAACATATTAACTTTCTCTTCCCAGTATCAGTCTGACAAAGAATGTGTTTACAGTGAGTTTATGAGCCGGGTGAGACGCTTTTCTCTGCTTGTCTCTCAACAGAGTGGAGGCAGAGGAGGGCAGAGGTCTGCGTGCTGGATGGGGGCCACAGCCAGGCCTGATGGCAGGAGCCCAGAACACAGTGAGCTCTAATCACATCCTCTAGAAGCCGCTGAGGTGTTACAGTTCACGTGGAGATACTGAAAGGTACAGATGGTAATGGATGGTGTTGTCTCTGTAAAAATAAGGTGCACAAAAGGTTAAAATTACATATCCTGTCGATCGATGCAGTGGCAAATAGAACAACTTCTATTGTTGTTAGATGAGGTGCATCGGAGAAATCATATAAGGAGAATCAATACCATACTGACCATAAAGATGCATGGAAAGTGAGCTTTACTGTTACTGTTTGCTCCCCTAAGCAGTTAAAAAACAACAACAAGGGGAAAGGGGTCGAACTCTATCAAATGTTCAAATCAAAGGCAAATTTAATTCTGCATTGTATTTCTTGGCACAGCTGAATATTGTCTCAAGAAGTGTTTCTGTCCTTCAGTTATGTAATATCTCCTCTAAACCAACATCAGAGACCTCCGGAGCTCTCTCAAATTGAAAAGGACTTTTTGAAATTGAATGAAATTACAGCTTTTGAGTCAGTGTAAAAGTGAAGTTACTTTTATTTTCCACTCAAGTCAAAAAGTTTGATAAATACAGGCCTTGACCTACGGATCGTTACCAGGTATTCCTTTTCATCTACCTACTTGTCAACAGACCTTTTTCACGGCAGTCATAATGATTTAACACATATTAACTAAGGCTCTGTTCCATTTAGGCGTCCCAGCAAATCGTCAGTTCATATGATAATCTGACAAATTAGCGTCCCACAAATCACATAATTAACGTAACACAAAGTTATGTACTCAACGTAAGAAATGACATGACATGGAATCATGGAAGAATAACAACGTACTTTAAAGTAACTCAAAGTTCAATTGGTTTCGTGCGGTTCCAAACTCTGATCTCCTGGGAGAAAGTCCTGTGTTGTTTGTTTGACCCATCCACCACCCCAACCTGCGTCCTTACCAAACCTTTCTCATTCCAAGGTCGTCAAAGACTGCTACTTGGTCATCGATTCCCATGTCAGACACAGATGAAAACAGGTCATCCCATTGCAGTGGTATGATACACTGCAGAATGGCGTCAGTTTATAAAGCTGCAGGATGGCATTAGTTTGAAATGCTGTCAGACAACGATGTAACTTATGTTGCTAGAAAGTCCCCATAGGGCAGGAAGGGCAGTGGATGGGTTCAACAAACACCGGACTTTCACCCAGGAGCCCGGTGTTTGCTTCTGGTATGAATGTAGAGCCAAACCATGTTTTTTCTGAACCTAACCACGTGCTTTTGTTGCACAAGGAAATAAACGTACCTACGAGGTCTTATACTGACAATGCAAGTAATTTTAAAAAAGACTCTTTGAATCTCACAAGCAGAAATTGTACATTTCCTGTGAAACTGGAAGTACTCGTACTTGTCATCCTCTGTTTATCCGGGTCTGGGTCGTGGGGGCAGCAGCCTCAGCAAAGAAGCCCAGACAGTCCTCTCCCCAGCCACTTCTGTCAGCTCTTCCGAGGGAACCCCGAGGTGTTCCCAGGCCAGCTGGGCGATGTAATCTCTCCAGCATGTCCAGGGGCGGCCCCGAGGTCTCCTCCTGGTTGGACATGCCCAAAACACCTCCCAAGGGAGGCGTCCAGAAGGCATCCTTACCAGATGCCTGAACCACCTCAACTGGCTCCTCTCGATGTGGAGGAGTAGAGCCTCCGAGAACCATCACCTTATCGTGGTGGAGGAGTTTGAGTGCCGTAATGACCCTAGGAGCTATGCTGTCGGGGGCATTTTGCCCCTGGTAGGGTTTCCCATGGCAGATTGGTTCTGGGCGAAGGGTTAGACGAAGAACGGTTCAAAAGACCCTTCATGATGGAAAACAACAGGAGATCGTGTACCCGGCCCGGAGGGTTACCGGGGCCCTGCCCTGGAGCCAGGCCTGGGGTTGGGGCCTGTGGGCGAGCGCCTGTTTGCCGGGCCTTTGCCCATGGGGTCCGGCTGGGCCCAGCCCGAACCGGCTACATGGGCTCGTCCCCCTGCAGGCATATCCATTGCAGTCTGTAGCACGAAACTCAGATCTTAAAGTTATTGCTTGATTGTACTTTGGAGATGAAACCGCCATTCCCTGAGCTCACCAGTGAAGGAGGTCTATCAGGAGAGTTCTGCTGTTGCTACAGTACTTTGCAACGTATGCTGTTTGCTGTTTGAAGTTATAAGTGCATACTTTGTAGATTGTTTGTGATGGAATGATTGATTATATTCATTGCAGCTCTCAATAAGCTGTCATCTGTCTGCGGCTCAGTCAATGTGATATATCTTCAGCTGTGCAGAGAATTCAGGGTCAGAGCAGCCAGAGAAGCTGGCTTGAACACTATTCTGCATGTAAAATATGACCGGATACAGCAGAACATTCTGGGCTTTTTGGCATACTGCATTTAACATACTATGTTTTAGGACATACTAAATCTTTTTCTGGCCTACTGAACAGCTTGATAGTAAGGGTAATAGAATGCTCCGATGATACCAGAGTCCTGCATCTTACAGGCAGCAGCAAACACAGGGAGGCTTGAATCCAAAAGCACTATACAGGTGTGGAGATGGGCGGGGGAATCTCAGGTGATTGCAGGGCAGCTGGGAATGCCCGGATCTGAAATGGCATGAGAGTTAGCGCTATGGAAAGTAAACGCAGAGCAGAAACATGAACAATGATGATGACAGAATCCACCCATAGTTACTATTATTTACACCTGTGCTTTTCTGCTATGATGTATCCAAATGTCTGCTGTGCTTACTGAAATCACCAGCTGGCTATATTTGCTTTTCTTATGTAGCTGTATGATGCAGGTAGCAATTTAGGCATTAATTTGTCTTTAATTGTTAAATTGATTGCAGTAAATTGGTCTGATTACTCATAACAAACGAAACCATGGACTGGCAAGATTATTTGTTTCCTTTGTCATCAGTGATTTTGTCTCTATTTTGTTGTGTTTCTCCAAAATTAAAAGCCTTTCACTTCCTTTAGCAGCAGACATTTTGCCACCGGGGAGGTGCTGTGCTCATTAAAGTTTTTTCCCTTTTCATCAGTGTTGTGCTCGCTCCAAAACTTTAAGCATGAATGTTTCCTGCTTCCTGCTGTAAACAATCCAAATTGGCACATAACATAAAACAAAAAAGGAACAGAGACCCGTTTCCCCTGCGTTGGCCTCGTCTGTTTATATCAATTATACTAATCACCTTGACGCTGATGTAGTAATGATTTATTTCGTGTCCAGCTGTGCTGCGAGGGGAGACACTAACCTGAATTGGACAGACCTCACAGGCATTTATTGGTGTAATCATCACTCACATGATGTACTTTTGAACAGGCTATGATTTTTCTTTTGATTTGTTGTGCCAACAATTTTAATCCACGAGCACTCACCCCGCCACCCGAGGCGATCATAGCATATAATAAACCCTCCTGACGGAGCGTGCTAGCAGAGCCATCGCAGGTGTTAACACGTCTGTTGTACTGTGTTAAATGTAGTACACAGCCTGGTGGTTTACGCAGTGAGGACAGATGTTGTGGTGCGTGTTGTGTGGAGCCACAGTGTGATGGAAAGAGAAACTGATGGGATGTCACAACACTGTCTCTTAGATCCCTGCTGTGGGGAATGCCACACCTATTTACACAGATCACTTACACAGATTTAATCATGTATAGAATATTCTGCTCCACAAAGGGAATTCAGATCTGTCTATGGAGAATTTTACTATTTATTTTCCTGTTTACCCAAAGAAAAATCATTTAATTCCTTTATCATGTCTGTGAATACAGTTTGAGGATCATACCAAATTGTGAGCTTAGCTGAGCTTGGCACCGACTGTGGATATCTTCTCCAAAATATTCAGGCTGCAAGGTTCAATTTATTCATCCATAAAATCCTGGAAATGATGCTGAATACAAAACATAAAAAACAAATATCTGTAAAATAAAACCAGGGATTAAAAAAGTGTAAAAACTACAAACTAAATAGTTTCATGTTCCCTCTAAAATAATACAAAGGAGGGAATACCATTTAGTGCAGTGGTTCCCAAGTGGTACAGCAACAGGGTCCAGATTTCTCCTTAGGGTGCTTTCACACCTGCCCTGTTTGGTTGAGTTCAATCGAATTCGAGTTTGTTTGCCCTCTAAGTGCAATTCATTGGGGCAGGTGTGAACACAGCAATCACACTGTGATTGAACAAGAACCTTCTTTAAGAGGTGGTCTTGGTCTGGTTATAACTGAACTCTGGTGCGGTTCATTTGTGGTGAGAACATATTCCAACCTGGATCTGAACCAGCTGCAGTTACATGACACATTGTTTGGGTTAAACATGAGCATGTTACAGTCCTGGAGGATTATTAATGTGCACGTCCTCCTGTACTGCCTTAATATGCACATTCAGCACATCCAATGCATCAAAACATTGTTTTCTAGTTGGAGCCGCGCCTCGTTTTCAAACTGTATGGTTTGACTAAAATGAACAATGACAGCAATATAGTCCACGATGAGCAGCGCTAAAATCAACCTGCGTAGTTGTCCCTCCATTGTGACATTAGAAAGTGTCACATTTATCTTGCAAGTGTACTCTTCTTCAACGTTTTGTTTACTTCCTGGATTTTTCCCACATGGAAATTCTGACCAATCAAGAGCAGCTTTCTCACACAAGGCATTTTATCTGGTCCGCTTGTAAATGCTGCCGTGAGAGCACAAACCAACTCTAGGCTATTATGCAACTTTATAACAAAATAAGTCCCTGATTTGGACCAAAGTAAGTTCAAGGTCGACACAGTTTAATACATTCAGCGTCATACTTGCATTTGGCCATGTTGTCGAGGTATTTTGCTTTTTCTGTCAAGTGGCTGTCACTCACTCTACAGCAGGATATCGCACTAGAAAATAAAAGCTCTGTGGTGGAAATTCACTGTGCTTAAAAATACTGTAAAGTGTGTTTCTTTACAAACTTGACACGTTTGCGAGTCACTTGTGGTCCCTTCAGAATGAACCCACGACCCACTTTTGGACCGCGACCCACCAGTTGGGAACCACTGATTCAGTGTGTGTGTGACACTGTTCAAATGCAGCAGATGTCTTTCATCCTCTATATTTCTACAGGACATCTTAGACAGCTGGACTGAACACATAGTCCACTGTCCTCTCTGTGGATGTTTACACAGTGATCATCTTACTATTAACCAATAAACTAGAAATCCAACACTCAACCACTTCCTGTTCATGTGGTTAAATATAAAATCAGGGACTCTTCTGTCCTCTGTTGAGCCTCTCAGGTAGTGCGTTTTCTTCCTGCCTCTTTCTTTAACATCTAGCTCTGTAAAATGACCTCTAACCTTAAAAGTAGAATACATGACCTGTGTAGTCAGGACACCGCCCTGAAGGAAGTGGAAGCTGACCAAGAAGTTCCTGGAAATCTCCTGTAAAACTCGAAGCATGTCAGACAGACTTGTGTATGAACTGTACTTGTAAAAACAGTTACCACTAAGCCAACGAGCATTAAGCATCAAACCCTGAGTATTAGGCAAGGTGTGTTTCCCACTTAAAAGAGGAGGTGCTCCTATTAGGTTAATCTCATGATTAAACATGTCTTGCCTTGAAAATGTGCAGGAAAAATGGGGAGTATCCACACACTGCATGAAAACAGTTTCTCACTGCCTCACAAATACTTAGAGCTTTAATCCAGTATTCAAATACTCTCCATTAAACCTTCAGTGACTTTGTTACTCTCTGCACCTGATCAGAATGTACAACAAGATGTGTAGACTGGATATCCTTATTGCGACTTGCGCTTTTATTGCGAAGTTGACCCGTTCTCTGGTCTAATACATGTCATTGTACCACTGAGCGTGTGTTAATCTACATATGACCAATATTGTAAATCTGAAACTGAACTGGACTACCAGTAGGCCAGGAGATGCACATCGGACATTGTAAATCATACAGTTTCGTTAGGTTTCACTGTCACTTTTGTCAGGTTTAGGCGCCAAAAAAAAATCATGGTTTGTCAATCCCAGCACCAGATTGAAACAATTTCATGCTTAAAACCCTCTGGCTGTGAACCTTGGCCTCCAGACGCAAAAAAACAACCTGTGACAACTCTTAGTGGTGGATCACTCGGCTTGTGCATCAATGAATAACGCAGTGATGTGAATTGCAGGACACACTGATCATCAACACTTCCAACGCAGCTTTATGCATCGTATATGTTTTTATGTAACATGAGCTGATGTAACTTAAATACTAAAATACGTCAGTGTTGACTTTTGGTTTTACACGGGACACTAACTTGAGTCTCCTCGGTCAAAATCCTGTGTTTGTTTGACCCATCCATCCACACGGACCTCCTCTATGTGTGGACTTAATTGCTCTTTATCATGGATGTATCAAGAGAACTGGATACAGTGTTGGAGGCGGGGCGCCATTGATTCTGATCAGAGCTGCTCAGTGGCGCTCCGTGGCACATGAAGCCAAAAAGCTTGATTTTCCACAATATGAAATAACCAGATCCTTTGTATCTGTGGGCCCATAGAACAAGCACACTAGAAACATCTGCTGGCTGAACCACTGACTTAAGAGTTTCGTGGTCCACTGACATGAATGGAAGCAAAATGATTATATTATATGGCTCTTCAAAACTTTCTAAATGTTATCTGACCCAAATGGATCAAATTCTGAGAGTGAAAGGAAACATTTCATGGGGGATTACAACGCCTAAAAAAATGTATCCACTGATTTACAGACATCTCTGACAATGTAAGTCTATGGGGAAAAGTTTCTATGGACCGCACGGCATCACTTGACCCGGAAGTTGTAATTCCATGTTTGGCCACTATGCAAACTTGGCTTTAAAAAATGGCTACTACATCAACTGATTCCCTCTTTTGCTCCGGTTATAATTACTTTGACCACTAGAGGTCGCTGCCTAACAATTAACATAAATGCAGGAGGTAGAAAAGGGAAATATTAACTGAAATCAATGCTCCAAATGTCAACTGATAACGCCCATTAAATGGGATGATAGAATTAGTGGCAGGTGGAGATGATCAGATACCAGTAAAATGTCTTCTCACTGTGCTCTGTACATCAACAGTAACAGGTTTTCTGTGCTGGTTGACCCCTTCAGGTTGTGTGCCCATGAGGTCGTCCATGCTGGTCCTGTTCCTCCTCTTCAGTGCCCAGGCTGTGGCCGCCATCGGAGGAGCAGCACAGCAGCAGGCTCCAGGCAACAACCCCAGCTCCATCCCCACAGTGGACCCCAAACTCTTCACCAAGCGCCGCTACCTCTCACCCCGGGTGCTCTTCAGCGCTCAGCCGCCTGATGCAGAGCCGGCGGAGTCACAGGGTGGCAGCAAAAGGACCCGCAGACGAGCGGGGCAGTCTCAGCACCGTGGAGTTTACTCAGTGTGTGAGAGCATCAGCGTCTGGGTGGGCAACAAGACCAAAGCCACGGACATCTCAGGCAACGAGGTGACAGTGCTGCCGGACGTTAATATCAACAATGTCAACAAGAAGCAGTACTTCTTTGAGACGACGTGTCACAGCGCCCGCTCGGGCAACTCTGGCTGTTTGGGGATCGATGCCAGACACTGGAACTCCTACTGCACCAACTCACACACTTTTGTACGAGCGCTGACTTCCTTTAAGAACCTGGTGGCGTGGAGGCTCATACGCATCAATGTGGCCTGTGTGTGTGTGCTGAGCCGCAAGTCATGGCGGCAGTGAAGACTTTCTACGCACATCACAGGATCACACACTCAAATAATACTGACATACTCATCACCAAAGACTTGTCACCCTCTGCACAAAGTAAATTATTGGTATATGTCAAAGTATCAGGACTGCATGTATAAACACCAGGCCTGGGTCAAACAGTATCCGTCTGTAGCTGTTGTTTGTACCTGTTCAGGTGTAACAGTCGTTAAAGGGGTTGTTGCTGTGTCACTTATCACCTGACTGTCTTAGCTGTGGTTTGTAACAGCTTGCAGAGGTTTAAAACTTAGCTATCAAACATCTAAGAATTAGTCTCAGAGGGAAACTCCACAGAGAGTCTGTTTTCAGCACGATTGCAAATGTGGAAAAAGCCTTTTGTGGCTCCAAAGGTAGCTGATAAATCGCCTCAAGTGATGTCACTTGAGTCAGAGCTGAAGTCGACAAGTTTGAAATGTAAAAAAATATGGATGTATGGAGAGAAATGTGACCTCTGCAGCCCGTTCCTTATCTCTAGTTGAGTTTAGCAGTTCAAGGCTGCATAAGTGTTGCATCGTAATGTAGGCAACAGATTTTGATAAGGAAGAAGAATATATGGCATAAAAAAGAAGATATCTCTTTCTGCTGCATCGACTTCAGTCCTTTTTTTTTGTAATGTTATTCTTTTAAGAAAGCCCTAAAAGCTAATCTAGGGGACTTGCAGTTGTTCGCTGAGTGTGAGGAGTAGGACACATTTACTAAGCTACCTACTCTAATTCACAGCGAAGTATAAGAGTAAACTTTAAGAGCAACTTTTAAGTGATTGTGCGAAATCCTTCATATCTGCAACAGCAATTTCCCTGTGAAGTAACAACAAACTAATAGGCATATTCCCCGATCAGCCACAATAATAAATCAGTGACAGGGGAAGTGAAAAACATTGATCTTTTCATTACAATGCAACAACCTGGCAGCCATGTGGATGCCACTTGACACGTCCAAACCACCAAAACCCTGTTGCAGACCAAGTTCAATCCGTCATGGCAACAGCATTACCAATAGCAGTGACCACCCCTGCAGGAAAATGCGCCACGCCACTTGGCAAGAACTGCTCAGGAGCAATGTGACAAGTAGCCTAAGACGTCACCCTGGCCTCCAATTCCCCAGATCCCAATTCAATTGAGGATCCACGAGATGTGCACATACCCCAAGGATCCTGTGTCAGAGCCACTTCCGATCCACAGAGGGGCCTCTGACCTGTCGCGGCATGGACACAGGATCTCTGAGGTTGTCCTGAGGTGTCTGGCACCAAGGCGTTGGTAGGGGATCCTTTCAGGCCTGTGGCCTACAACATGGGGTACCAGCATATCCCACGGACGCTTGATTGGATTAGGATCAGAGGAGCTGGAGGCCAGAATGACGCCTTACACTCTATTGCCCCTTTTACACTGCCAGATTTTCCGCGAATGTTGGGCCGTTTTGCCGGCAAGCCGCAAGTGTTTAGACACACAGAGCCGGATTGGCGAGTTGATCCGAGGTGCCCAATTTTCCGCCTCGTAGGGTAGACATATTGGTGGAACCCTTTTAGTTTAAACAGACCGAGGCAGCCTTCTGCAACGGGAGGGGCTGTTGAAGACTTGTGGGAGGAGCTGTTGATGACGCCGCACGTGCGACCCAATGGCGGTGGATAAACAGCAAACAGCTGATAGCAGGAATTAGCAAGCAGCTAGTAGCAAGAGGGAAACACAAACCTGACAGACACTGTAAAGATGAGCGACTGGGGAGACAAGGAATTGCGCGCCCTCCTTGTCCTCGCAAACGAAGAGGCCATTAACTGTCAGATGACGGGGACGGTGAAGAACGGGCCGACTTACGAGAGAATCGCTGAAGGACTGACCAGCTGCAGCTTCCCTCCCACGTCACTGGTTACGTCACACGCTGAGCTACACGTTTTGTTACTTGCTCACGCCCCCCATTGCCCCGAAAAAGGTGCATTCTGTAAAAACAAAATTAGGTAGGCGGCATTTTGCCGCACTCGCCGATTTTGTTTTTATACTGCCAATGTTGAAAGAAGACTGATTGGGCTTTCCTGCAAATTTGCACAATTCTTATCTAAAAAGGGCTTATGTCAATTTTCTCGGGCCATTCCTGAGAAGTGTTTTTGGTGTGGTGCATTGTCCTGCTGGGGGGGGCACTGCTATGGCTACAACCACAATAATAATATCACAGCACCTTTAAAAACAGAGTTCACAAATGGAACAGGATAGGGAAGCACCAACAGGATACTCAGAAGGCAATGTGACAACAGAAAGCCAAATAGTCCAACCAGACATAAACAAGACAAAATGAGGGAAGGGTTAAGTTAAAGTTAAAACAAGAAGACAAAAAAAATGCAAGATGCAGGGCACAAAATGTCAATATTAATAAATAAAAAAGATCAAAAACAACAAAAGCAAGTCTATTAAAAGGGGTTTTAAGAAGTGATTTCAAAGAGATCACTGATTCTATGAACCTTACATCCTCAGGCAGGTCAGTCCACAGCTAACGAGCCCTGTTGGCCATCGCAGCTCCATCATCCAGCTACAGTCTCTCTCACACTCTGTACATTTATACTTTAGTCTTTCACTTTCAGCAGTCTGATAAATACAGACTCAGGTTCAGTTAACCACTGCTAAACTACAGCTTAACCAAAAGTAGCCTACAATAAAGTTACATCATCAGATCCGCCCCCCACAGCCACAGGTGAGTCAGAGCTGGGGAAATGTAATCAAGAGGAAATTAGTTTCAGCTGTTTACATTAAGACTACCTGCTGTAGAAATAACTTTAAACACCAGTGAAACAATGTGTGTGTTTATCATGTACAGTCCAGCTCCATGTGACCTTTGGCCTCCTTTCAACCTCTGCAGCAGATTTAATCAAACCTCAGATATGATGACCTCTAGTGGCATTCAGGTGACCACTACAACACACAGGAAGTGACTGCAGCATGTGAGGTCACAGCAGTGGTGTTAGGGAACAACGTCATTTTGTGAAAGGCAGCTTGTCTGATACGTTAAACCGCAGCTGAGCTAGAGACGGAGTTTTCGCGCCACGACTCAGTCATGCTGACTACAAGCCGTGTTATTTTTCTGCCACCTGTTATATAACCCTATAGCACCTCCCGCTCACCACACATAGACTGACACAACCTACACGTGTTGGAAATACAGTTTGACCCAGGTCTGATATCAGCAAACCTTTTGTTAAAATGTTGTTGGTATTGTTATTTATTAAACACTTACATGAACTGTGTGTTTATGAGGTTTATTGTGTGGATGTGAGGCCTGTTGTTCCTCAGGGACCGACGAATGAGTGAGTAACCTCTTGACATAAAAAGGAAAATTGAGTTATTTGGCCTTGGTGGAAATATGCAGAGAAAACCCATATGGCCCCATTTTACTGCCAGTAATTTGGTGTTTTGGCTTTGCTTTGTGTTTTCCTCCTGCTCTTTATCCTACAGCAGATATGAAACAAAAAGGGAAAAAGACATAAACATAAATAAGCCTGTGATTCATCAGCCTAACTCCGGTTGATAATATCATGGCTCGCCATTTTCTTTGTTTTGGCAGTGACATTTCAGAGTTGTCAGCGCACAACAAATCATAGAGGAATACTGTCAATGTTCTCGTCAGGCTGGTGATTTTTTTTTTTAGGCTCAAAGCCCAATTTTTGTATCTCAGCTGACATTTAAGATGTCTGAGGTGAGCTCAGAGAGCTTGGAGGTAAAGTGGAAACAGAAACAAAGAGGCAGCTGAGGTTATGTTCCTGGAAAAATACACTTCTAGGAGAAGTACCATTTAAGCTGTCCACCTGCCAACAGTAAATACATTTTTTCAGAACCAACTTGTTTAGCTTACTGCTGACTTGTTTACCACAAATTAAAAAGCACTGCTCTAAATACAATACAACACTGCCCTCTAGAGGCCACAGTTAGGAATAAGTTTTTAAATAAAACAAATGGTGTTTCTCAGAGTCAAGGATCCTTCCTTGGTAGGATGAGTCCGTCCAAGGAAGGATCCTACAGAGCCAAGGCATGAGTCCTTCCAGCATTCAGTGAACACACATTGGAACAGGCAAACAAGTGTTCCCAGGTGTGCGTCATTAACCCTCAGCAGACTGAGGGGGGGATTCAGGGTACTGTGATCATTTCGGCACTCTCTAATGTTGTTGTACAGTTTTAAACAAATGTAACCAGCATTTTCAGAGTCGTGACTTTTAGGGAGATTATATTTCTGGATTATACTTAAAAGAAACAAACAGGTAGGCGAAATGAAACTTTTGTGGCACCCAGCACTCCATCTCTGCTGTAAACAATTATTCCAAAAACTTTTATGTTTTATTTAAATCACGGTATTTTAAATATCTCAGTATTTGGCAGTGGACACATTGGAAAGTGTAAATTATGAGGTTTCTGTCAGTATATTTTTATACTTGTATTATAAAAGCTCCTGGAGATATTAATACAAATAAATGACATATTAATCTAAATCTCTCCGAGCTCCACTGGCACAGGTTTCATTGAAGAGGCCCTGCCCTCACTTCCAGCAAATCTTGCTCAAAGAATTGTGGGTACTTTGTACCTGCTGAGGATACACACATACATCCTTTAAAATTCTCTGAATGAAGGACTCTGTCCTCGGGAGAATTTGACACTGGATTTAAGGATCCTACGCTGACTTTGAGAAACACCCACTGTTTTAACATTGGATCAGGTGTTAATATGTCATATTGAATACTTCCGGTCATGGATTTATGGGAGTTTAGAGAGTGTAAAGTGAGACATGCAAATGAAAACAACCAATTTTCAATTTTAAGATTCTTGTCTATTTTGCCTACATGTCCTCTTTCAGACTTATGGAAAGAAAACCCCCAAAAATACACATTTAGTGTTTATTGTAGTTCAGATGTCTGTTCTGGAAATGTATCCAAACAGCACAAATTTAATTAGATAATGTCTCATTTGCACATTTAAACATAAAATCTCAAAAAACTTGTAATACTAAAAATAAAGTCATCAACAGGAGGTGTTTCATGGTGATATTTATTAATTAGAAGTTTTTTATCCTAGTATACTTTTGTTTAAACATGTATGACATTTTACAAGACATATTTATAAAGGCTGTTTTCCCAAAATGAGTTTCTCATACTTAGAACCAAAAATCTCAACTTCAGTATCACTTACATACAACAAACTTTCCAGTATTATTCCTATTTATATTCTGAAGGTTTTCACAGAGAGTTTCATATATCATTCATAGTCTGATTTATCTCACATTTTGCTCCTAACAACATAGCGAAAATAGATTTTTTTATGGCTACAGGCAAGGTAACATTATTTGTATGACACATATACACCAGGGTAATTTAATGTGCTTTACAAAGCAATAAAGTGACAGTGTTTTCTGATTTATGGAGGGATAAAAAGACACATTCAAAATCCCTTTTTTCTAAAAACCTTTGACTCTGATGTGTCAACAAAGTGAAACAAGAATTTTGAACCAGGCTTCATCAAGTTTAGATTTTTGTTCTGGAAATGTCTGTAAATTAGTCCAGAATTAATGAGATACTGTTTCGTTTGCATACTTAAACAAACAATTTCAGAAAACTTCTAATTCTAAAAATAGCAGTCTCAATAATGTAGGTCATAAACTGAAGACATTTCATGGTGGTTTAAACTAGTTAAATATTTGACCCTGGGGTGTCTCCCCTTAAAATAAATAGTTCCCGGCGTTATTGAACACTCAGGTAAACTGAGATCTTAATAAAATATGCCACAAATCAGTATGTTGCTTTTACAACACTGGGTTTTCATCGTAAAACAGTGTTTTAAAAGAAAAATGTAACTTACCACAGCAGGGTGCTCCTTGTTTAAGCAAGCTAAAACTAGTTGGTGGCTATATCTATTGCGCATGCGTCCTGCTGAGTTCATGTATACGCGGCTATCCTCGGACAAAACAGCATTTTCGATCTTCTGTTTTTTTCAGAAGTGGAAGAAGTATTATTTAAGTAAAACAGATATACTACAGTGCAGAAAAAAACTTTCTAGTTTAAGTAAAAGCACAAAGTTTTTGCATTGAAATATACTAAACACATGTATAAAAAGTAAAAGTACTCATTATGCAGAATGGCTAATTTCAGCATCCTGTATATTAAATGACTGGGTATAGTTATTGATGCATTTATGTGTGCATGACTTTAATGTCGCAGCTGGCAAAGGTGAAGCCACATCTAACTACTTAATTCACTGCAGTGTAGATTAATCTATAATATTACATCATAATTCATTAGCTGATCATGTTTTTTATTAACAATCTTGATCTGCAGAGTGACACATTACCCTAATTAAAGACTTTACAATTAATGTAGTGGAGTAAAAAGTACAACAATTTTTTTTAGGGCAGATAATGGCATAAATGTAGAAAGTAATGATTATCATTTAAGCAGGATTC